AGCAGCGAGGAGCCCCTGGCCCTGGCGCGCAGCCCCCCAGCCCGGGCATGCCTGATGCGGTGGGAACCGCGGCATCGCGTCCGGCAGCACCAGGAACCGGGGAGCATTGGTCAGCAACCAAAACCAAGCCGGGGTTGGCACCTGCGAAGAGACACTTTTCGCACGGGGAGAGGGTGTTGCCCCATCCCAGTGTCCCCTTTTTGCGACAGTGACCCCCTCTCTGGCTGCACCGTGCTGGCCACGGCCGGTGGCTCCCCTGTTCGAGCCACAGAGCGAGCGGAAACTCCCGACCTGACCCGGGGGAGAGGCCACCGCTGATGCTGATCCTCCCTGGCGCCGGGCCCGGGGCTGCTGAGCCGGTTACCCCGCGGCGTCCCGGCTGCTTGCCGGCTGCGCAGCCTAAAAACAACCGGCAGAGCCCACGCGGCTCCAGCATCGCCTCTCCGGGCGCCCGGGGTCACTCGCTGCTCGCTGCAGCCAAGCACGTCCCTTTTGGCTGTGCCACGCTGCTCGGTTCCTGCCTCCCTGCCCCTTCCCCGGGGCACCAGGAGCTGCCGAGCACCCGGGGTTTGAAACCTGCCCCTCAGCCCTCCCCAGAGCTGGCCGGGGGGTGCAGGGGGGCTGGGAGCTTCTGTCATCGCAGGGGGGCGAGGAACTGGGATTTCCAGCAAGGCCAAAGGAAGCCCCAGGTGGAGGCTCTCCCTGCCCTGAAATGTTTTGGCTGGTGAAGACGGAGCCGGCCGAGGCCTGGCTGGAGCAGGAGGCAGGTCCTCTGCCCTGGCCACAGGCAAGGAACCGGGCTTGAATCCGTCCACGCAGCTCCGGGACGTGGCTCCCCACGGCAGGGACTCAGCAGAGGCCGGCACCTCCCTGATGCGGTTTATTCTGCAGCTGGAGGGTTTTCCCATCGCATCGGTACAGAGGCAGCAGAAAAACCTCAGTCTGGGAAACGCTGGTGCCAGGGAGATGCAGCACAAAGCCCTGGGGCAGACCAACAGCACCGCTCGGCACCTCCGGCCAGGCTCCAGGATGTCCTCGAGGTGGACACCACTACGGTGCCCTCGCTGGTCCCTGCTGCCCTGCGGAGGACAGGCACCACGGTGGGACCCGCCACGCTGCCGGCAGCCTCCCGCCCCACGGGCAGCCCCTCACCTCCGGCTCCCCAGGAGCACCCGGTAACCCAGCACCCCACCACCCCAGGCACAGGTGCCCACTTTCTGCAGCCCCGGGTGCCACGTTGTCCCCCATCCTGGAGGGGAAGCGGCCGGATCCAGAGCACCCCGGGGCATCCCTCAGCACCGGTTAGAACAGCTCCACGTCCTCAGCATCGCCCCGGCCCTGTCTGGGCTCCCGGCGGCGCCACCGGCCACGCTGCTGGCGGAGAGGAGAGTCCCAGCCCGCGTGTGCGGAGGGACGGGAAGGCGGCGGCTCTCAGAGCACAGACAGGTCGTGGCAGGACTTGGAGCGGACTTTGAGAGCCACTTTGCTGCTGTTCCTGGCCACCAGCCTGTCGAGGAAGCGCCGGGCTCTCTTGGTGAGGCTCTCCTTGCGCTTCTGGCCAGGCGCGGGGCGCGCGCGGGACTCCTTGGCCCCGCAGCGCAGGCGGAGCTGCCGCACCACCCCCTCGAAGAGCTCGGCCACGTTGTGCTGCAGAGCCGCCGACGTCTCGATGAATTTGCAGTCGAACACCACGGCGCAGGCACGGCCCTCTGCAAGGGAAGAGCAGGGAGGGGACACGGCCCCGCTGGCACCCCGGGCGCTGCCGCAGGCGGGTCCAGGGACAAGGGGGAAACAGCTGGGCAGGAACCCAGGTGCAAGATCCCACCAGTCAGATCCCCCCCTCCACCACCTCTCACCTTCGACGGAGACCTCGCGGCACCGCACCAGGTCGGTTTTGTTCCCCACCAGGATGATGGGGATGTCCTCGGCCTGTCGCGCGCGGCGCAGCTGGATGCGCAGCTCCGAGGCGCTCTCAAAGCTCCCGCGGTCGGTGATGGAGTAGACGATGACGTAGGCGTTCCCCACCTGCAGGCACTGGCTGCGGCGCCGGCTCTCCTCGCCCTGGCACCGCACAGGGAATGAGATGTCACTTCTCCACAGGGGCTGCTGGCACCTCCAACCGCTGCCGGGGGATGGCAGAGCACCCTGGTACCGATGGGGCCTGCCAGTGCACCCCGCCAGCCCCTGCATCGTGGCGAGCAGACACATGGCCCCTTAATAAGAAGCAGATTAAAAACTCCTAATTTTGGGGGGTGTTTGAGAGTTTCCTCCTCTACCAGCAACAAATCGGGGCTGCAGGCTCAGCTTGGCTCGGGGGGGGGGCTCAAGCTGCACCTCCCAGAGCTGCCCTTGGTCGTGCAACACCGGCCTCGTGCTTGCAGCGCCCTGCGTGAACCCGGCACCGGTGGGATGAAGCGACAGCGGAAATCAAGGGCTGTTGTTGGGGTGTTATGGTGCTGGGGCACCTTGGGACGGTGCCGCTGGACACACAGAATGTGACCCCAGCCTGTGTGGGTGCTGCACCCGCCTTCACCGGCTCCGTCCCCAGCTCCTGGGGACCGGTGGCTGCCTGGTGGCACCCGCAGGAACGCCGGGCCCAGCGTGGAGGGGGGCAAAGGGGGGTTTCCAGGGAGACAGTGACAGCAGCGCTGGCATTTCTGCCCAGCACGCCCCACACCAGGCCCTTGGGGCCACCGCTCTGCTTGCTGAAGCGAGCGTCCTGTCTGGCAACACCGTTTTCCTGTGGATTTGCCCCGTTGGCTCCCTCAGCCCCGTTCCCAAACCATTCCCACGCATTTCAAAGAGGGCTGGCACCCCACTCCTCCCGCCCCACTTCGTGCTCCAGCGCTTTGCAGTGCCCGGCCACGGGAGCCCCCACGGGCGAGAACACGGCGGGCAGCCTCCCCCGGTGAGGGAAGGTGGGCAAAGAGCCGGTCAGAGACGTGACCCCAGCCCCTATCTTGGCCCCGGACACAGGCAGGAAAGCCCCGGGGAGCTCCACAGAGCTCAGAGGCCCCAAAGCAGCGGCTATGCCCGTCCAATGTCCCCCCCCAGGCACGTCGCGGCGGCCCCGCCGTACCGGCTGCTCGGGCTCCCAGGTGTCCATCACCAGCAGCGTGGTCTCCTCGCCATCCACGGAGAGCGTGCGCTTGTAGGCGGCTTCTGCAAGACCCCGAGAGACCGATCCCGGTCAGCGCGGCACTGCCCCGGCAGCTGAGCCTCGACACCGGGTTCCTCAGCGCCTCGCACACGGGTTTTCCGCAGCCTGGACACACGCTGCTCCCCCCTGCCACCTCCTCCGGGCCCCACCCGCGGTGGGGTGACCCCAACCAGCACCCACCTCCGTGCTGCTCCAGCAGGTCCCGTTCCTGGAGGCCGGCGAAGAGGTTGACCAAGCTGGTCTTGCCCACGCCGGGGTCACCCAGCAGCACCACTCGGTACAGGGGGTCCCCGGAGCCGGAGGAGCCCGAGGACTCGGAGGACCAGCTGTCCCGGGGGGCCGCGGCCCTGCCGCCCGGCTCGGATGCGGATTGACCGAGCTGGGGGTGACAGGGCTCACCCCGCGACGTGGCACCCGTTACCCCCGGCCGCGGGAGAGGGGTGCTGGCCCTCCTCCGCAGCGGGCTCTTGCTCCCGCGCTGCGTGTTCAGGGTCATCTGCGGCACCGGGGCTGGGAGAGGCCGCCCCGAGGGGCCC